GAATGTAAGATAACCAGTTAAGGAATAAGTTGGATGCACCATTCATCTTTTGCAAAGTGTCTGTATCTCCAGCCTTGATGTGTTGCTATGCATGGTTTGACACTGATTTTACTGTCCATTGTTTTAGAAGTGTTAACACCTTCATTCATGTTACTCCTTTACAAAAGCTTGTGATGGATTATCCAAATTAATTTTGTTGAGCTTGTAACAGGGGCACTGCCAAAACTTTTTATGCTGCAAGCATCTTCTTTGAAATTCTGAGCCAGTTTGGCCAAGTTCCTCCTGATGTGAGTTCCTACTTTTTTCATTCACTCTACATCTCAAACTGAAAACTCGCACATTAAAGAGCCAGCTGTGTTACATGATGATTATATTTATATGTAATGGCTCCCATTGACAGATAGAGCAGAAACAGAAGTATGCTGCTTGGAAGGCTGCTGACATAAGAAAAGCCATTAAAGAAGGAAGGAAGCCCACTCCAGGTGATCCTGTAGATGATGAAAATGATTTATCCATTCCATCAAGCGGTCCTAGTGGCTCCTATGTAAGTTTCTCTACTTGGCAATTGTATCACGCTGATCAAAATCATCTAGCTAGAGACACAAATTCACACCCTCATCTCTATTTCCGGGTTTTTGCTTGTCCACTGTTGAAACACTGTGATAAACTGTAGCTTCTTCAGAGTACTTCGAAAATATGTACACCTGCATCAACTTAATTGATTCATTGTTATTGCGTGCTAATTATCTACAGGATCTTGGTGCAAGTGATACCAACATGACGAGTCATCATAGAACAGATCCGGATTCATCCCATGACTCGAATGATGACTCTGGCCACCACCATTTCCCTGAAGTGCCTCAACACCCTCTACCACCAAGGTTTCATGACAATCCTAACAATGATTATCCCACAGATACCCCGCCTCCACCACCGTCTTCTTACCCTTCCAACGAGTTTCTTTCTCCTCCCACAGGCCCATCAGAATCCTCTTACCCGCATCCTTACAATCACCAAACGTACAACCAAGACCCGCCACAACACATGCCGCCTCCACAAAACTACCCATCTCATGAGCCTTCTCCAAATTCTCTCCCTAATTTCCAGTCTTATCCTAGCTTTAGCGAGAGCAGCCTCCCATCCACTCCTTCCCACTACCCTCCTAACTACCAAAACCCAGAACCTTACTATTCTTCTCCACATTCCGCACCTGCGCCTTCTACGAGCTTCGCCTCTGCTCCTCCTCCTCCTTACTCATCATCAAACGGGCGTATCAACATCCCTCCCGTTGTAGATTCTTCACCGAGTCCAGCTCAAAAGTACCATTACGACAGCAGCTACCAGCCAGGGCCAGAGAAGGTTGCAGAGGCCCACAAGGCTGCAAGATTCGCCGTGGGAGCTTTGGCTTTCGATGAAGTCTCGACTGCTGTAGAACATCTGAAGAAGTCACTCGAGTTGCTAACAAATCCAGCGGCCGGCCACTGAATTTCATGTTGAATCTATGTATGAAACTTGGGGTTTGATGTGTTTGCACACAATCTTATCATGGGGTTTGGCTATTGGCTTTTTCGACTCAGACTTCGTGTACAAACAAAAATTATTGTGTGAAGTCTTCTAAATATTTCAAAGTGATGTTTTCTGCAAGCTCCATCAATGGTTATATAGTGTAAATAAATAATGGATTTTATTAATACTTATTTATGTGTCCAACTCTAATGTAGGGAGTTCCAAAGATCAGGGCTCGAAATGTTTGTTTGTATTTCTCAACATCAACCTATCATAAACCAATTTGGCACTACAGAATAAAGCTTAGGGGCATAGTCTTCTTTTGCTACTCTATTCACCACACCATTATTTTCTCTCCACTAAAACACAAACTTGACTTTATCAAAATAGAAGAGCAAGTGATGTATATCTTGATATACCGGCACTAACAAGTTCCTTTGAAACTGATTCCAAGATTACCCTCTAATATCCAACGCTTGATGTGGTTAATATGGCCTATCTTAATGCTTCTGCCTCAACTTCTTCCAATGTCCTCAACTTTGTTACTGCTCTTGGTGTATTGGATATTATATTGTTCATCTTTCCCTTGGTTGAGAACCGATGGTACTAGCTAGTTGGGCCTAAATAGTACCCTTAAAGGCCCGATTCATGGAATTGTGTGAGACAAAAAGCGAGGATGAAGCATGGAAGCAAACGTGTGTCTTTAGATTGTTGTCAAGTGTAGGAAAAATGAAGAGAGGAAAGAGATGTCAACCGGTGTGATCGTTGGCGCGTGCATGTTCGCCACGCACATCAATCATCATTAATATTATTACCTCATATCTCCTACTTTACTCTAGAACACACATTTGCATTGATCAATATTCTAGATAGAGAGAGAGAGGAGAAATGAGTACGACGGAAATGATGGAGAGAGACGCAATGGCTACGGTGGCTCCCTATGCGCCGGTCACGTTCCATCGCCGTGCTCGTGTAGACTTGGATGATAGACTTCCTAAACCTTGTATGATCTCTCCTTCCATTTCTAAAATTGTTGTCAATATACGTAGATATTTGATATATGGTTGAAATTCAAGGAACCCTTTTGGAATAGAAGGATTTATCATCCCCCAATCTTTGAGGAGATATAAGAATGTGCATGTGGGATTATTATGATGTTCATGATCATATAGATAGGTGTAGTGTAGATACATACATAAATGGTATAACGATCTATTTGTATGTGTTTGTGTCGCATCCACATGGATTTTATGCACATATATGATGGTAAATTATTTCACACATGTTCGTGCATGTGTATTTTTTTAAACTAATATATATGATTCTGATATAACGTATTAAAGAAATGTAATCTCCAACATTATACCCCCAAAATAATACACTATGTACATACTTAAACAAAGAAACTATTTAACAAAACAAACATTATGAATGATAATGATTAGATATGCCAAGAGCACTGCAAGCACCAGACAGGGAACATCCGTACGGAACCCCGGGCCACAAGAATTACGGACTTAGTGTTCTTCAGCAACACGTTGCCTTCTTTGATATTGATGACAATGGCATCATCTACCCTTGGGAGACCTACTCTGGTATATAATACACATGAATGTTTGCTGACATGTATCGTTCAATTTCTATAAAGAAAAACATCTTTTCAGTTTCGTATATATATGAAACCTTGATTCCTTCCTATGATTAGGGCTGCGAATGCTTGGTTTCAATATCATTGGGTCGATTATAATAGCTGCTGTCATCAACCTGGCCCTTAGCTATGCTACTCTACCGGTAACACCTCTCATAGTTTTATTGATTGATTCGATGCTAGAGTCATAAATTATTGAGATCAATGTTTATGTTGTTAGTGTCCGACTTGATATGACGCAGGGGTGGTTACCTTCACCGTTCTTCCCTATATACATCCACAATATACACAAGTCAAAGCATGGAAGCGACTCAAAAACATACGACAATGAAGGGAGGTGCGTAACCACTATATTGGAAATTCGGGTCAAGCTAGATGCATGGTCTGACCACCTTATGCTTTGCAGGTTTATGCCGGTGAACCTTGAGTTGATATTTAGCAAATATGCAAAAACCTTGCCAGACAAGTTAAGTCTTGGAGAACTCTGGGAGATGACCCAAGGAAACCGCGACGCGTACGACCTTTTCGGATGGTACAACTACCACATAACCCCTCCTTTTCTTACCATTTAGATTAGTGAACGAATGTATTAAACTAAAGTATTAACTATATATGTGGTCGTAATTAATGTTTGGGCCTACATATATTTGATGTATTAGGATTGCAGGCAAAGTGGAATGGGGATTGTTGTACTTACTAGCGAGGGATGAAGAAGGGTTTTTGTCAAAAGAAGCAATTAGACGGTGTTTTGATGGCAGCTTGTTCGAGTATTGCGCCAAGATCTACGCTGGTATCAATGAAGACAAGACAGCTTATTACTAAATGTGACCCTAATGTGTTAAGTAATTGATCGGCTAATAATCGATCGATGTGAAGCGTCTGCCAATAGTAGTGTGGACTGTGCGGTATAGAAGATCAACGTTTGTTTTTGTTTTGTCAAAATATGTACGGTATAAGTTGCAGCTCTATAGAAAAGCTTATGTGGAATAGTGTGTTCCCTTGCGTTAGTTTCTCTGTTTGTACCAGCCTTTTTTCAGCCATCTCCAATTCCCTTTTAAAATGCAATTTTACAGTGTAATTGTTGCCAATAATTTTACAGTAAGAGCCTTAAACAAAAAGAAACCTGCGTTTGATTCTAGTCAAACATTAATTTTCTTTTCCAGAATACAAGATGAGCAATGAGCCAATGATATTTTGCTTTAACTCCAATGGTTCTAACAGATTGAAGCAAGAAAAAACATAGACAGATACAATGTAAACCCCACTAAACTCTTCACTTTCAGAGGTTGCTAAGAATTGTAGATCAGAGCCCAACTTCAAAGAGAAAACCATTCACCTTTGGAAAGCTTTTGTTTGAGGATCTTGAATTCATACCAAACATTGCAGTCCCCATCAACATTGCTCTCTACCATTCAAAACAAGTAATGGCCACTCTGAACAAAATGTCACCACATAAGCCTTTGAAACTCCTGCACAAAAACTTCATACATAAAAGAGAAGCAACAAACAACAAGAACATTGAAGCAGCCTCAAAAGAGAACTAGGCAAGAATAAGAGGAATCACCTCATGTCGGAGAGTCTTGCACTTTCATTAGTATACTAGTCCTTTTGGATCCTTCTAGAGTTACATTAGCAACATCAACGAGCTTCGAATTAGGGAAAAGCCTAGCAATCTCCCTAACATCTTCTCCGCCGCATTCATCCACCGCAACCACGCAAAACCCTCCGCGTCTCACCGTCCTCTCCATCTCCTCCACGAATCTCAACGGAAACAGAGCTTCAGCGAGATGCGCGGTGAAAGCAAAATCGAATACACCGTCGAAAAACGGAAGGTTATGAGGATCGGCTCTTTTGACAAGAGGAATCGAATCGACCAATTCGACGGCGGTTACATCAGCTAATCCGATCTGCGAAAGAGCCATCGGAGCGTGTCCAGCGCCTGCGGAGAGGCAGAGAGCTTTGGTATGGTTGTGGAGGAATCCGAGATCGCGAAGCCGGAGAAAGTAGGTTGAGAAGGAAGAGAGACGCGATTTCCAAGCCCTAGAGGACCACATTCGAGCGTTCTTCTTGGGTAGAGGAAGATGCTGGCGAGGCGATGAATCGCAGGTGGATCTCGGGAAATGCGTATGTGGTTTCGATGGAGCTTCTGGTGGGATACAAGTTTTCGGCGTCTGAAGAATCATAATCACCATTATCGCTGTTCCGATGCTTATGAACACTACGGATACTCTGTTCAACATCTTCTCTACGTTTCTCTCCATCGTCGCCGATCAAACCCAGCTCCTCCGATCGATTTTGGATTTTGGCCGACGATCGCTGATGTTAGGCGCGTCTAATGCACTCGCTATAAATGCGCGTGAGGAGTTAAGAAAGTGGCTTCGTTTTACGTGGGCCGGGCCTTATATGATGGGCCCGTCAAGCTAACTGTAGACTGTGATCTGAGAACATTTAAGGTGAATGTGCAATTTCAGAAAAGAAGTGGGGCGGTTTTGAAAAATAATCTAAAAAGAATAGGGAGGGAGG